TTTTAAATAAAAATCTAGTCTCAGATAAAGAATATATTTGAATTCTTAGTTATATTTTCATTGTGATCTTATTATTAAAATGATATTAAATGAGATTATGAAATCATTTCTCACTTATATAATATCATAACATAGTACTCATTTGTTAAAAATTCAACAGAGAGTGTTATTAAATATTATTACTTTTCTTAATATAGATTATAATTCATACAATTGTAATTATAAAAAAAAATATAAAATACAAAAAAAAACAAAAAAAACAAAAAATAAAACAAAAAGAGAAAGAAAAAAATAAAAGAAAAAGAAAAAAATAAAAAATAAAAACAAAAAAAATTAAGATTATAGAGCTGAAGTATTTTTAAAATACTTACTTTTCAGAGTCTTTATAATATTTATTATTAACTGTGTATCTCTTATAGCAAGAATAACATAGCTGTGATAAGTTATTATCTTAATATTATTTAATAAATAATCAGTATATATCTGTATAAATATGAATAATTAGAAAATATACACTTAAAAAGTATGATCAGAATGAACTCTGCTATCACTTAAATAGTATCAAGAACAGAATACTGAAATCAATGATTTTTCTCATTGATTTTATAGATAAGATATATAAAGATAATCTTGAGAAATATAAGATCTTCTGACTTTTGATAAAAATAAATCTCACAGAGAGACTCTATTTTCATAATATCAGAGACTGAGTATTATTAAAAAGTGTTACTTTTATACAATGTATATATACTTACTTCAGTAATTCACTCTCTGTATATATGAGTAAGAGTTATGACTTTCTCACATCACACAGCTCTCATTGAAATGCTGACACTGATGTGTAATTTATACAGCTTCTCAATTCAGTATACACTGTGTGTATACAGCTCTGTATACTGAGACTGTGTTCATTATTATAATCTGATGTGATACTCACTTTTCTCACACTATGTTTGTTTAAGACAGAGAGAGAGATATGACTATTAAGAGAAAGTGAATAATTGATTATTATAGAAGATAATTTGATTTCTACTGTATTTATTAAAAATTTAATACGTCTATATTTTTCAATTTAAGAATTTCTAAGAGTGTTTTAATAGTTTTCATATCAGCTTGAAATTAGTGATGATTTGAAGAAGAGAAAAGAGAGAAGAAAGAAATAAGAATAACTTATCTTTATAATATGAAAATAGAGAATTGCTGTAATCATTTGTTCTAGTAACAAAGATCTGTTTTCTGCATATATCTCTGATACAGATTATATAATAACTATATACAAAGAATATCAACAGTGTATGTATTGAATGAAGATAATATTATTATACAACACTGTAGCTGTTTCTATATATCTCTGAAAGCTGTTAATATTTTCTTTAAGTCTTTTTAAATTTGATAAGTTAGTAATATATTTCAATACACTTCTTCTTTTATCATTATCATTATTATCATTATTATTATCATTATTATTATTATTATTATCACTATCACTATGATTATTATTATTATTATTATTATTATTATTATTATTATTATTATTATTATATCATTTCTGATTATTTCTTCTATCTTTATCTCTCTTTAACACTCACCGAAATTAATTATATTATCTCTCTTCAAATATTCTGCGATTCTGCAGATTATCAAGGCATGTGAGTACTGTCACAGATTGAAGAAAGAGAAGAAGAAGACATTTAAGTGAGAAGAGACAGATTATAAGACATATTATAATACCTTGAAGAGACTTTGTAAGAAAGTAGAATAATAATGATTTTAAGTAATACTTCTGATAAATTTAGACTCAACTAAGTATAGAAATAATATAAATGACATCATATATGAGAGAATGAAAAAGAAGATAGTGAAGAGTCTTATATAGTAGTAATAAAATCAGAAGAAGTTCTGAGAATGATTTAAGATTAAGATAAAGAGAGAGAGAGAGAAGAAGAGTATTTCTATAAATAAGTGATAATAGAAGTAGATTAAAAGAGTGTTAAAGTAAGAGATAAAGAAGTTAAAACTAATAAGTTTTTTATTTATTAAGAGAAAATAATTTTTAATAATACTTCTATTCTCTAATTGATTAGCAGAAGCTGACAGAGAAGAAGAGAATTAAGGTCTTATTCAGATCTTAAATGTGCTTCATAATTCAGAATATTAAGAAGACAGCTCTACTCTCTGAGCATACTACTCTGCTTACTACTGAGATGAAATCTGAGACAGTAGATCAGAAAATACAGGATTTTGAGATACAGATTAATCTGACTGAGAGAAAGCAGTAGAAACTCTTCTCTAAAAAGACAGTGAAAAGAGATTTTGAGATGATTATCATCTCAGATGAGAACAAGAAGAAAAAGAATATCAATGAGAAATAGATTATAGAGAATAATAAGAAGAATAGAAAAGAGAAGATAGATAATAAGTAGAAAAAGTTTTTTTCTTTTCTATATTAGTTAGTTATAGACTCAGTAGCTGTTAAATAATAATTGAAATTAATTCTTAGTTTTCAAAAATTATTGTACAAGTTGTAATCAATGTCAGAAATAATATATATATATATATTTAACTATCATGATTCACAAATCACTATAATGTATAAGTATCAACATTTTTTCAACATTAATATTCATAATATTAATATATTGTTAATAATATTATCTGATAACATAATTTAGCAACACTCTCTTTCACAATATTAATATATTTCAAGAAATATAACAGAGATTAA